TTATATCCAACTCCATAGCCACACAAATTGCCGCTTGCTTTGTAATTTTTATCAATTATGTTTATACATTACCTAAACATTTTTTCCTTTTACGCTCGTATTGCTTTTAGTCGTAATATTTTATTTCATCATATAAAACTCAAATAAAAACGGTGAGACAGCACTGTAGTTTGTTTTAGTGAAAAAATGGAAATGACCCCTCCGAACGCGGTATTTGTATTTTTTCTTTTCTTTTTTTTTTCAGAGGGGCTAGGTACGTACTATGTTACTATACTCGATATAAATTATAATTATATTAACCACCGAGGGATTTGAACCCCATATGCGAACATTTGTGTGTGTGTTATTTTTATTCGTATATATGTAGGGTTCATTTTTATTCCGCTCAATCTGGTTGATAGCAGGTGGCTTTTGAACAGGTGAGCACCTGCGATCTGAAATTTGCGTGGGCAAACATTACGTGACAGAAGGGCTTGCTGTGTGACGAGTTGTTCAACCCTATGGTCAGTCAATCAAAGGTCACGGTAAAATAGATCGTGTAGAATACTTTACTACAGCGTTTGATGCCATCTAGATCAATTGGTAAATATTTTTTAAATGTATTTTCCATTTATTTTTCGTTTTCTTTCATTCGTAGGTATACAAAGACCTTTATTGGGAAATTTACATTTCTCAATTTACTATTTTCTATGACGTTAGATATTTTGAGATATAGTTTTATTCCATGTTCTACACAAACATTACATTTAATATTATACATTAGCTTAAAGTAGCACCTATAAAATGTTGATATTTTTTTCAATCACGTGTGGCACATGCGTCGTACTCAAACTTAATTCTTATTTGTGTTTTCTTCTAAGCGGTATCGATTTTCTCTTTTCTATACTAATTATAATTTATCCATAAACAATAAAATAATTGATTGCCCTTTGAAACATAATATACATAATTTTGTGATATTTATAGTAGATCTGTGTTATGTTTTTCATTAAACAGTAGTGGCTCTCTCTCTCTATATATATATATATTATTGTATAATGCCATAATGACGTTAATTTTTCACGAATCACTTTTTCATTTTATGTATTCTTTATAATGCGCCATGTTCGAAAACACGAACTGAATTAAATTTGTTTTTTTTGTATAATTTTTTTGAGTTAATTTCTTTATTTCTTAATCAATAATTTTAACACTATTTTTAAGTATATACATAAGTTTATAATACTAAATATTTGGTGTAGATAGATCTATTACAAGTAACAACTTATTAAATCAATAATATTATGTTTAATTTTATCGAGAAAATTAAAATAAATATTTTATTTATTTTCTTTTAGTTATAGCTATCATAATAGAAAATAATAGGAATAATATTGTTTTGTATGTCGTACATTTTATGTAAAATAGTTTAAAAATATTATTTTACCATGCATAAACGATACGATTTTACTTTATAACGAGATATTATGTGGATAATTTATTCATACACATAAATCTTATAATACGTTTTCAAGGTATATGATTCCTTACTTGTCTAATAAATTGATAATAATAATGATCAATCCTGGATTAACAATAATTTTGAATTTATGACTTGAAAATAAATTAAAGTCTTTGAAATACGATACTTAACATGTATATCTCGCGTAATCGTCAGAAATAAAATTACTTGAGAAAGGTCATGGGTATGATGTACGATTTACCTTATACATGTTCCAACTGTAAGGCAGTTTAATTTTTTTTTTTTACAGACCGCTTCATAAAAGTTTTTTGTTACAATTCTCCATAAAAATAAGTTTAACAAAGTTTACAACGTTGTGAATTAAAGTTTATTTTTATGAATACTGTTTACATAATGATATAAAAATGTCAAACAATAATCGACTCAATGGTTAATAATCGAAAGTATAAAATTACAACCAATTATCTGATATATTTTAAATGATGCCTCTGAAATAAGTATACTTACCGTGAACTGCAAAAATAAGATGCAATTTATTTTGCTTGAAAGATTAGCCCTATTGTATACTTTATACTTGATTTATTTCGTAGTATAAATAGAGCTATTTTTTTTATACATTTATCGTTTACTTGATGAAAAAAAATTTCGTTTTACATTCCAACAATAGAAATATCTTAAAGAAATATTAGTATTCATTTAAGAATAAAAACAATGTATTGTTATTTTTTAGTTTTTTATTATGTCTTCCAAAAGATACTGAAAATGTTATCTATATAAGTTGCACTGTTTATAAATTTTATATTTCTGTATTATTTTTTGATTTGATTATTAATTTTATAAGTTTTTTTATTCGTACAAGGGAAACTATGCAATGTAATAACATTTATATTCGTGTATTTTCGAAATTAAAAATTGGTTTTGCAGGAAATAAATATACAAAAATATTCGTCATAACTTGAAATCTATAATATTATTTGTTTGATTATTTAGTGTTTCTGTAGCCAATTAAAAAGTAAAATTGATACCTTATACTCATATAGGAGTTTATGAAAACTTCAAAAATAAATAAATTTATTATATGAGCTAATTTACCGTAAATTAAGATAATAATTGTTATGTAGTTGCATAATATGTCAAATGTTCTGAAAATACGCTAAATACTTACATGTGAAATCGACAAAAACATTTTATTCGATTTTAGTAAAGCTACATTAAAAAATATAATATGTAGGTATTACAATTAACACTGGAATAAACGTAAAATGTTTTATTTTATATTGAATTTTATTTTTTCATCTACAACTAAAAGGATACAATTCATCATAGTCTATTTTACAATGTCTATTTTTACAAAACTACAACTTTACTGTACATATTACCTAACATTACAATAGTCTAAATAAAGAAAAAAAAATACATCTCCGAGTTCGGATTAACAATTTTGGATTAAAATACGTTAGTATCTATACATAGGAGTTGTTGATTACAACATTGATATTATAACAAAAATATGTTGTTTTATTACGTTGTATATAACACAATAATATTGTAAATGTCAAAATTTCACTAGTTAATAACATTTTCTGATAAAGTGTTAGGGTTCTCGGAGAAAGAAACTGCCGAGTCATGTTAGTGCTTGTTTTGACAAATGATTTCAACAGTTTTTCCATGGGGACGCGGGGAGGGGGAAAGACCGTTACGAAAACGGGAAGTCTATTAATAAATTTAATTTTAATTGAACATCAATCTTTTAATGTAGTGAATGTAACAAGTAAAATAATATTTTCTGAAAATTACAGATTTATTTTAAATGTATTTTTTTTGTTTATGTTTACACATGATTGAAAAAAAAATACTAAATAATATAATTAAAATTAAAAAAAAAAAAAACCATCATCATAAATGAATAGTTATTAAAAATTATATTGCACATTTCCATTCTCTTATTACTCTACAGAGAAGAACACAATTTCGATGAAAATTACGAATTTCAATAATTTATTTACATATATACCTAATATAGATAACTATATCGATCGAATGTATGTACAGTTTTGATGTCCTGATAGTAGTATTTACAACAAAATGATATTCGCATGTTAGCGCAGTGAGACAATAATTTATTATTTAAACGTTGTTTGTACATGCAATTTGTGAATAACATATTAACATATGTGTAATTAAAATCGAATGAAAATATATACACGATGTCTATCCGCGTAATGTTGATAATTATAATCCATTGAGTAGGCAAGTACACTGGTAATATTTTCATAAGTTTGATTAAATTACTTCAAAAATGAATGATCACTATCAACATTTTTTGCTAAATTCATTTATAAAGCTTATACGAACGTAGTATTTTGTATTTATGATTTGTCAATATATTGTACTTTAAAAACAATTAGATAGGTACTACACTTAAGATACGAGAAATAAAATAACTATCTTAACAGCAAATTTAATAATATTGTTAGTATTTCATGTTTGTGTGATCAACTGTTTAAAATAAAATAAAATAATTAAATTATAACATAAAGGAATTTCTATATATACCTAGTTAAAATATAATGATATAATATTTTCGTTGTGGCTAAATATCTCGATCTAAACATAGCTTTATAACTTTTAAATAAAATAATTTACGTTTTAATAATATAATGTATAAATATTGGTAATTATAAATCTTCGATGTTATATTTATATTTTTGGCTTGTAATATTGTTATTATTTTTTATTTTAAATAAAGATTGTTATTTTTAAAAGATAACGTTAGCACATTATTAATTTTTTTTTTCGTTTGTCAGGAACAATTCGTTGATATTTTTTATTTTAGCCAGTGTGACTTGAGTTAGACAAAATAAAGAAACACAATATTAATGACTACTTTAACTATAGCGTCAAAAATATTGTATTTAAAGAATATAAAAAAAATATTGAGAACCAAATTATAAAAAAGCCAATGTATAATATTAACGTGATAGATGTTTTTCATAAAAATATTTAAAGAATTTGTTAAAACATAAAACTACAAAACAAGGAATTTCCATAGAACTTTTACAACGATATATTGTGTTATTATATTTTATAAATTGTAATGAAGATTAAAAAATGTTTAATGAACATAATTTTAAATACTTTGAACGCAATTCATACGTGTTATGTTTTATCATTAATCTGTTAAATCAATCGGAAATAAATATATTAAAACATTATTTCTATTTTAGATAATAATTGGAAATTTAAAAGTTATACATTTACATAATGAATTTATTATTTTACTCGCTTAAGGAATGCTTGATAATTATTCAATTTAATTAATGCATATAATCTGAACCGACGGTAATTTGTTTCAACAAAATTAATTTGTATTTTATTCCTTTAAAAATCACACACTATTTTGTGTAACTATTATAAGAGTATGTTTTAATAAGTATCGTATCATGTGGTATTTTGTATCTAAAATTAAAATGTGTTGTAGATTTATTATGTAATACTTACCTATAATATCTATAATATGTTTTATGTATCTACCCATACAAGTAACAAGTTGTATATATATATAATTATATATATTTACTGGCTTTGAATATTTGTAATTGATTGTTACTGATCTAACTTCAACTAGGTATACAATTATTTGCTACTGAAAAAGATATTCGACTGGAGAGGTATACATTATCTATTATGCGTTAAATATTAAATTTTTATAAAATAACGCTAGTTAAAAAATACGTGCATCCAAAACAGAGGCTTTAGTTTTAAATTTATCTTAAATACCAACATATATCATCTATAAGTCGCATGATCACATTTGTATAGATATTTGTGTTTTTAGGAACATATATTAAAATAAGTGGCATTTATATCGTACACAAAAAGCAGATTTAAATTTGTACATTAGATTTCCTAACATAATAATTACATATAATTAATAAATGAAACTATCATGGACGTTTTATAAAATAAAACGCACAACATAGAGAGAAAAAAAAAGTTGAATCAAAACCATCTGAAACTTTTACTAAAAGACAGAGTGAGAGAGATGCAATGTTTGAAGTGATTTTTATTTGAGACGATTGACCCAAAATCCCATATTGTTTGAGCGAAATTTATTTTGGGCACCTAGTAGGTAAGTCTATTATGCTTATCTTTCTAATTTTAGAATTACACAACAATCTGAGATTAGCTGAGCACGTCATTATTACCATACAATTTTTTGACTTATAAACCAAAATTGATCATCTTATAAAGTTATACTTGACTTTGGGCAGTAGGTATACACAGCAGACAGAAAGATAAATTTGCTTAAATAATGTATGATCTACTTAGATAAATTTCGGGTGATTCGCCCAAATCAACGACATCCTGTATTTGACAAGTTGGTCGTCCAAACTCATTTATATTATATATATATTAATTATATACACAACTATTGTTTTATATAGACGATAATAAATTTATGTTATTATTATTATTAATAATAATAGCAATGTCTATTATCTTTATATAGAAACGATTATTTCCGGTTAATGCGACTAAAATGAGCACGTGTCTTAGGAAGGGATTCAAGTGTAGTGACGGATGGCAGCGGCGGCACGATATCCCGTCATCAGTGTTGGGCCGCAAACTTCATACGCTTTTGCTTTTGCCTCTGGTTGCAAAACCACACTCTGACCACGTTCTTTTTCAGGTCGAGCTTTTCCGCTATGGCCGCGATCTTCTCGCCCGACGGCCGCGGCTGCACGGCAAAGTACGCTTCCAGCGACCGTTTCTCAGGCGCCGCGATTGACGTGCGCTTTCGTTTCTTCTCACCGGCCGGAAGCACGCTCGGTGCGTCCGGGTCGCGGCGCTTGTTCTTGGCCTGCGCTTCCGCCTCTTCCAGCCACGCTTGCAGGATGGGCTTGAGTGCGATCATGTTGTTATGCGACAACGTCAGCGACTCGAACCGGCATATGGTGCTTTGGGATAGAGCTCCGACGCCCGGTAGTTTAAGGTTGGCCAGTGCCTTACCTACGTCCGCCTGGGTTACGCCCAGCTTGATCCGCCGTTGCTTGAACCGCTCGGCAAACGCTTCAAGCTCGCGAGGATCGGTATCGGTGTCGGGGTGCTGGAGCCCGGCACCTCCGCCGGCGCCGATCATTCCGGCTGCCGCGGCCGCCGCTGCAGCTGCCGCCGCCGCATGATGATGATGGTGGTGATGGTGGTGATGGGGGTGACCGTTCGGACCGGCACCCGAGTGTGAGTGGTGGTGATGGTGGCTGCTCATCATGCCTGCACCGTAGACGCCAGGATGGAGCGGACCGTGGCCGGACCCGTCCGACATCGGCGTCAGTGTAGTCATGGTCGACGACGATATGGGTTCTAGAAGGTCAAGGCCCTCCATACCGGGGTGCATCTGAAAACAAATTGTAAAACGTATGTCGGTAAAAACGATAATAGGAAATAGGTGTGAGCACGATTAGTTAAACAAAGAAATATTTTGATTTCATGCTACGAGATCAGTGCGCATTTATATGTGTTAAATCTAACGATTAACAGATAGTTGATACATCAATTGTTTTTATATGTATCTTGAGTATTGATTATTTTATTATTGTTTTATAGAGTGAGCAAAAATATTTACTTCCCTTTGTATAATATTCGTACTCGGTAAATGCCTTCAATTAATTAAGGTGTTTTTTTTTCTTAATATTGAAATATTTTGATTAAAAATTATTTAATTGAAAATTTTTTGATGAGAACTAAAATTATTACTGCCAAAAATCGAGTGGAAAATTATTATATTATATGAATTGATATATATCACTATTATGGAATTGGTGGTGCCTATATATTTGCAAATATTCTGCGGTAAATAATTTCAGGGTAAAAAAATAATTTAATTTAGCCATTATTAAGCAAGGTGTAAATACTGAAAACTAAGTATAAATATCGTATGAAACATTATCATGTTTAGAGCCTTCATGTATGAAGTAAAACACGAGAAGAAGTCAAGAAATAGAACAGGGTAAATAATGCAGGTTTAATTAAAAAAATAAATAACAAAATTAATTATATTGTCTAAAGATTACAGGGAAATCACTTGGAACTATAATCGTTAACAATAACGATTTTGAATAGATTGAGTATTTTTAATACATTGAATCACACCTGTAACCAAACCAATATAGATGAGAGATCAACATAAAACTGTTCATTTAGACAATCTACAGAGAACGCATTTTATGGTCCAAATAATAAAGACCAGGCTGGCTGTAGAATACTATAGTTTATATCCATATGAAATGTACGTAATAATTTTAATTTAATTTAAATTGTATAACGATCATGAAATAATCATAATTATAAATATAATACACTGGACAATGATCTGATACACCTACTAAGTCTAATAATAAAATATGGTAGACAGTTAACATATTAGGCATCAAGTGCATGTTGTAAACGTACACTATTTGAGATTAACGCAGCACAGTTACCTGGGTGCCACTTATCATCATTTAATCGAAGCCGAATGATCCTATACCGGGAATCAATTTTTGAGTCGACTTGGGATTGGTCAGTTTTGATCTAGGAATATAATATTTGTTTACTTAAATCTCCTATAAATCTGAGTGACCCATAACGGTTTAAACGTGGACAGGCGTTTACATTTTTGCTAAAATTGATCTTTCCGAGTTTTCGTCTTGAAAAACTTCAGTTTTTTAAATTTAGTTAACCCCTCATTATAAAACATATGTAGAGTTATTGATAATTGACAATAATTTTAAATATAACACAAACATTTATTGCCTACTATTGGATGTGTTATTTCTTATATTTATAATCAATTTATTTTTAAATATTTGGGTTAAATTTTAAGTCAATTAAAACAGTAAATATAGATTTATAGTATAAACAGATAATAATATCAAAAATGTCTTCTTGTATAGTTAAATTCGCATGATTTATGTAAAAGTTTTAAGTTTCAACTAACCTAACTTTCACGAGATGTTTCCTGAATAACACTTTAAAGTAAAAGGTACTTAAACTCGAACATCTAAAAAATAGTTGTTGGACTCAATTTAATATTACCGATTATTATATAGCCATATATTGGTACCTACATATATTGCGTACTGCGATAAACGCATAGTAGTAATTATATTTATTGTACTTCCGTGTATATATATATATTATATTATATAGAGCACGCCCGTAAAATCCGATGATAATGTATGCGGTGTTAAATTTATGGTGAACATTCTCGGTGCGTGTGTGTGTATTGCGTTTGTGTTGTGCGTGAAACTAATTTTAATCAAGATTGAAACCCTCGGTGGTGGCTCTACGAATTCAGTGTGCGAATATTATGATATAGGGGAGAGATTATCGGTTTGGCGATGATGGCGCCCCGCAACCGCTTTACAATGAGTTTGAGCGCGTTATTGCAATACGTGGGAACATACATATACAACGTATATGTTTTTGTGCAATATACTATAGCTGATCGTGCACGGAGTTGTCAGTGAAAAATTAAATAACGCTAGTAGATTTAATTTATCTTAAACTCCATTGAATTTAAACAACACTTCATATTCTTCACACAGTCCTTTGGGTAGATTTTAAATAATCTAGAAGTAAATGTCTAAAATTATAAGTACTTTATTATAATAATTTTTTTATTTTCTGAAACCGATTGCAATAATTTATAGAGGAAAAAAAATATTCGTTTTTCGTGAGTCAGAAAATTCCTGCACAAGCCCCTCTTTTAAATGCAAAATTTTATAAATTATATTCAAGAGGATGATTGTCTTTGGGTATAGGATTACTTTTTATCAACACCAAATACAACATAACATACCAAATTTCAGAACCACGAGTGCGATAGACTTGGCTGTGAATCGTTTTTAACACACACACCACACAAACATGAAACATTGCCTTTTATTTGTATGGATATGTGCAGTCGGGCTATTGGTACCTACGAAATGTGTAGCACAAAAAAAAAAAATATATATATATAATAACAACAAATACGTGATGCGATTGTCGAATAAATAAAACGAAAAGGCAGTGGTGGCGGTATTATGTATATATTATAGCACAAACATTCGCGTACAGGATCGGTAAAAGTGTGGGAATTTGCATTTTATACGGCTCACGCGTATGTGAACGGCATATGTGTGTACAAAATATAAAGAAAAAAAGCGACGAGCGTACGTCACGGGAATTCCACATCGAGGGAGTAGTGCATGTTGTTGGTGGTGGCGAGGGTTGTTCACCACGCGTGAATCCGACGGGGAGAAATTGTCACTGGCGAGTATATATATGTATATATATATATATATATATATATCTGTGTGTATGTGTGTGTGTGGAGGTAAACCTATATACAGTACAGGCATAGGTATACACACACACACGCACACTACATACCTACTGTATTACCACTGCAGTGTATGGTACACCTACTATTGTATCGCATATATGCCTATATATTATACGTATATGTAAAAGTGTTACACATATAATACACGCGTTGCAGGATGTGGGGTCGCGTGTGTCACGCGTATGTGCATACATACATACATACGTATATACGTATATATATATATATATGTATAGATATAGATTAGAGTATTCGTCGGGGTCGACGGCGAGAGATATAGTTTGGCGGGACGAGTAACGTGAAGTACATAACGGTGAGGGGTCGAAAGGGATGAAACGGCAAACGCAATCGAATGAATAATTGATTTGGATTGTTATTATACACACGCACACGTACACACACACATACGTTCTCTTTCTCAATATACCATCGTCGAGTACACACGCACATATACACACATACACACAACTTACTTGGCCCTTGTCGTCGCCGTTTACCCCTTTCGATTGGTTACAACGACAACGTAGACGACGAGGAGTATATTATTATTATTATTATTATTATTATTATTTACACACATACACACACATACATATTACACTCAAACAGTGCTCGTTCCTGTAATGAGGTAATCGGCCGCGTACACACAAACGCGACGGTCATATTATGCGCACGCCGCACCCTCCCCACGCGACGGTTAGTCACAGTAGTGCAGTCCCCGCGCGACGTATATTTCATCATTAACTCGGTCTCTCGTCTCCCTCTGGCGTAGTAGTATACCCTTCATCTGTTGTGGCACACGCACGCGTAAACACCTATATACGAGTATTGCTGCTTCTGATGCTGTATAGTGAGATGGAGAGCAAGAGAAACAGAGAAAGGCGTAGAGAGAGAGAGGAGGAAGTAGATAACGTGAGGAGTATTCCGCTGGGAACGCGAGTCCGTGTGTTTTTTGGAGGGCGGTAGCGGAAATATACGAGCAAAAGTTAATGGATCGACAACTTTGACGAAGTGCTTCGGAGGAAAAATATTTTCGAGCGATGAGGGACGAACCACGACGACAACGCCGTTTGTGTTATAATATTCACCGATATACATTCTGCCCTTCCGCGTGAAAATGTATATTTTATTGATACCCACTCTTACGTACGTTTTGTTATTTATACAATATAACCAATAGCCTATACGAGTGTATAATATATATAGTTATAATAAGAGGAATAACTGTGTGTTAAGTATAACTGTGTGGGTGTGCTTATGTCTACGAATTTTCACGAGACGTAGATTTACACTGTCCGACTCGTTAGGTGAATTGTACACCGAGGGAAAAACGAAATTGTTGAGTCCTGTGTTCAAAAATGTTGAGTCTTATTTAAGAAATACCATTTTATTATTTTAACTTTGCTCATGCCCTTATTAACGATTTTTAATAGTATCTAAAATTACCAAAATGTATGATGCATATAGTTAGATTAAAGTTGAAAAGATTTTGCAGAACTAAAGATTTTGAGTTTAAAAACCTAATAATTTCTTCAAATTACTTTAAGTATCTAGTACCAGTTAAAATAATATATTTTTTTATAGAACTCTTAAAGTTTGTAATAAAAAGATATAGAGCATATAAATAATTTACGTGCCATTAAAATCCAACGAAATATGGCAATAAAATCAAATATGGCATAATAATATGGATAGTTATAAGGGTTATTTAGAGGAAAAAAATAACATAAACTATTTATCTAGACTATTAAATAATACTTAAATATATAACGATGTATATAATACGTGTTAAATATCAACATAATATATTATATATATAAGTGTAAAAATAACCTATAAACAATTTTTAAACTCAAATAAAATATTTTTAAACATAGATTATGTCATTAATTATCATTTAAATAATCATTGGTTTATAATGTGTTATGGTAAAAATTAAAAGTGTAAAAAGTTTCAATCGTTTAGTTTTATTATTTGTAACTTTTATGATTTTTATATTTTTGAAAGAAAAAAATGTATACATCTTTTACATTATTTTTAATTTATACGAAAATAAATATAAATACAATAGTTAATCAAAGAAATAATAATAAAATATAAAGCTATTTATCAATTTTAGAATTAAATATTTTTTAATTCTTAACGTAAGTCAGTATAAATCATATCAATTTAAAAGTTTAGGGATATATAATAAATAATATATTAAATTAAAAATGCTCTATGTTTGAAAGAAAAAAACCAATAAATCATAAATGTCTTATAATATAATACTATAATAATAAATTACTTTAAAATATAAAAAAGATGAAGTTTTGAAAAGTTTATGAATTACCTATCAATTATTTAAATTTCAATATTAAAATTAAAATTACATTTGAGTAGCCTCGACGTCTTGTTTAATAATAAATGTTTAAGTTTATGTTATTTAGTGTGGAATTTTCTATAACCCATAAACTTGGTTTTAACTAGTTTAATTAAATGTATTTACCTGGTGACCTCGATGGTTGGATTGGCTACCTGAGTGTCCACCGGACATTCCATGATGGTGGTGGTATGATGACATAACGTCGTGCTTGAGCTGAGAGAGCGGTCCAGGTGATCCAGTGGATCCAGGCCCCAATGATCCATTGCCTTGGCCTCCACCATTGCCATTACCAGGTCCCGGTGATTGATGGTTATGATGATGGTGATGCTTTCCCATATCCACAGCAGCAAGCACTTCAGCTCTACTGAGTAGACCATCATTGAGACCACCAAATAAGTCACCCTGTATAAAATAAATATTTTTAAAAATTAACTTTATGCGGTATGATGATTATTTTTGTTTAATTTTAAAGAATTAAATTTGTTTTTAATAAATAGAGAGAATAATTATTTGAGCAACATTTTCTTTGACGTGCAAAATGTGGAGAAGACGGTCAACAACTTCCCATACTTGAATATTAATGAAGAATGTCTATCCTTAGTCTTAAGCGGCTACGTTTTCTCACTAAGCGTGGAATAAATGCTGTACTGCGTGTAAAAGTTTTTTGTAAAGATAAAATTCACAGTGGACTTATGACGCCCAAGATAAGAAGTATGGAATTTACTGAAGACGTCAACGAGTATATAGAGTTTACTTACTAGGGTTTTTTTTTGGGGTGTGTGACAAGTGCTTCTGGACTTTAGAGACGAGTCGTCAATTATTTATGAGCTATCCCATTACTCTCTCATTCTTTTACATGGTCATTGAAAAAATGAAAAAGTATTATAAAAAATAACATGAATAACTACTGTGAAAAATAGATGGATTTTAATTATAATAATGTATACAAAAATATGAAAAATATATCCATTAAAAAGGTAATATAATATAGGAATAATAATAATCCGTATTAGGTACATAGACAATTATTGGATACTTTTTTATTTCACTCACTTCAACGAAAAATAGTGATGAAATATTATTATTATTTTGAAGTGATACTGAATTAACACAATTGAAAAATTACTTTGATCAGTGATTTACTACATGTATGCATAAAATAGATTTTAAAAATACTATAATAATAATTTTATAATTGAATTATAACGAAAAAATCAAAATGGGTTTAGCACTAATGCTACTTATTTCCAATTTATCAATAGAGTAAAATATTTTTTATGCTCAGAAAAACTACCCAGAGAATAAAAAAAGAACCTCCGTTAGTTCTATAAAGTACATTGTAAATAACATTTATTCTCTGAAATGTTGTCATGGACGTTAAGATGCACTCAAATAACAGATATCTAAAAGAGTGATCCTTTACTTGAAATATATAAAATCCTATCTATACTATTTTCGAATAATTTTTATAGATTATGAAACATTATACTTGGAATAAATCATAATATTTAATTTTAGTTTATTTTTCTAATTCGAAAGTAGTTGGATATTGTTTCATTAGTCAATGACATTAAAGATGTTAATGGAATTTTTAAATTATTATATTATGATCTAATAAAAGGTAAAGTGCAATACGAGTTAAATTATTTGTTTTCATATTTTCTATAAAACGAGTAAAAATAAAAATGGATTTATTACAATTTGTATGGAATAAAAATACTTAATAGTGTTTTAAACGTCTTAAAAGACTTTTTCTGGGCTAAAATAATATATATATAAATGACAAAAACTATTATAAACTATTTTATAGTTTATTATACGAGTATACTCATATAAAAACGTTAATTTAATTTTAGGTAAGAAAATAAAAATAATTATTGTTTTGATTACTTATTAAAAAAAGTAATTGGCTTATTAGTATAACAAATGTGTACTGTGATAGAAAAAAATAACAATTAAGTAGTTAATGATATAAAAAACTGATATTTAATTTTTTGTTTTATATTTACGTTTAATTTAATATTATAATTGAATCGATTCGTTAAAAACGTTAGTTTTGATTTCGTTGCATGTGTGTTAATTTTTACGAAAACAATTATGCCGGAAAGTATTGTAATACAAGAGGGGATATTGCGACAGATTATTTATACAATTTTAGGTGAGGATTAAGTATAAGTATTATTGTATTAAGTATATTGTTATAAATTACATTTCAAACGTCGTTTCCTTCTAAATCCCATGTTCCCTTTAAAGCTTTATTGGCCAATGCAATTATAAATATATTTATACCTATTCTTTAAGTATTACGTTTTTCATTAGTAATTAATATAATTACTATTAAAAAATGTAGAAAAAAAACGTAAAATTACCCATTAATAAACCTCCACAATTTCTAAAAATGTTTAATTATAATTAAATATTTGTCATATTTTTAAGAATCTATCTCAAAAACTCGTATAATTCAACTATTACCGATGCACGTCCTAGACATTTACTTTAATAAAATTATTAAATTCATTAAAATGTTGTTTATTGTAATATTATGACATAAAAAATTCTCTGTAGCGCATTTTATTTTCGTTTATATTAAAAGTTTTAACGTATTTATGTAACGAATACTCAATATGACATTTTATATTATTCCAGGTAATGTATGTACAAAAGTTATTAAAATCGAAAATTATAAAGTTTTTTGATTGTATATGTTAAAGTGTCTTGGTGTTCTTTAACGATTGGCATGTGTTTGGAGTGGACGTGGTACGATGATGACGTGAAAACTAAACACAATTTGGGTGTATCGGAAAGCACGATAAAAACTCTCATGTACGTAGGGGTAATCATCAGCGCTGGACCGGCGGCGCTCATCGCATCGATGCAGAAAAAACTCAGAGAGGTGCTAATCATCGGGATATTTTTAACGCTCTGCGGGTCAATTATATTTATGGCGTTTTCGATCAGCGCATTGCTCACACTTATTACTGGACGAATCCTGCACGGTATGGGTGCTGGGATCGTGTGCGTCGTCGTGCCCAATTACTCAGCAGAAATCACTGAGCCGAAGTATAGAGGTGAACGTTAATGATAGGTAATAATTTTATTAGGGCTAGGATTTCTAAGCATTAGTATATTTTTATTATCAGTAAATTTAATTTGTTTAATCCATGTACATTGGTTGACGGTTATAACCACGATTTGGTTCATATCGTAGAATTTAATAGAACAGTTTTTTCCTTTCATATTTTTATCAAAATGCGTATAACTGCACGTGTAGAGTTTTTAAGACGCGATATGAAAAACGAGCGTAAAATCATATTTGTCTTGTTAGTACCTATCTGTAATTGTTGTTGTAAATATACTATTTATGAACTATTGTGGTCGATCATATCTTAAAAAAGATAAAATTCTATTTTAATATAGGCTTGTTAACTATGTGGGGTTATTAATTTAATAATCGTTGGTATAACACATTTTTCAATGTAGGAAAAACATTTTATATTTTTGTGTGACATTCAGTGTAACTGTAACATTTATATTGGTAAACGATTTAGAAGAATGCCCAAAGTTCGAAGTGAAGGTGCTTAGTTATGAAAATGTATTTAAAAACTATTTAGTGAAGTTTGCCAAACTAATGGTAAAATACTTCATTTATTATTTATTTATTTGCAATCAATTTTCGCATAAAAACTATTTGATGATTTATAGAATTTAAAATATTTTTAAAAAAAATCTACACATTTATCATTTTATATTGCATACCTACCTATATAAATCCTAGCCCTAAAAATAATAATAATAACACGTGTTTTATGGAGTCTACATTTAATGTTATTGTGTGTTACATTTTAAATCATATGTGTTCTATGACATGTATTATGCGACACAAAAGGGTCAAGTAAAAAACGCTTTGTAATATCCACCTGAAGTACTTCCGCGTAAATGATAAACCCATTTAAAATTTTAAATACACTTTTTATTGTTTGTTCGATATTGGTTTAAGCTATTAAATTATATGAGTGACCATAATTTTTGCTATTCATATCACAAGAATATTAATATAAATTAAGATTACATCCATGAGTGTTGAAAAATTAAAAAAAAAATCTAAGCTTTTATAGAGATGAACGTTTTAAAGTTATAGGTATATACACAGATTGAATCATTGATAACAGTAAGCATAACTTTATAGTCTAAACTTCTAAGTATATTAACATATTTATTATATTTTACCTAGGTTAGCACTTGTAATTTGAACTATATGTTCTAGATTATGAACATTATTTTTTTATTATTTTTTTAGCAATTGTTTATGAATTATGATAAACATATTCATTATAATTACTAATTTTTTTTTGGTCGTTTAATTAAAAATTATAAATAGCAGATTATAAATTAATGTTTATCATTGTATTTAGACGTGCTAATTGGTTTACATCATGTACACTTGTTGAGTGGTATGATTTTGTCACACATTATCGACGAGTATTGTATGTATTCATATGTGAATATGGGAATTGTAGCTATGGCAATTTTAAACTTGATAGCATTATGTGCCATTAACGACCCACCATATTTCCAAACGATATTTTATGAAAAGCTGAAAAAGAGTGAATTAGAATGTAAACGCATTAATGTATCGAGCAATAGTTGTCACAACGTAAAAAAAAAGTTGCAATAACAAAATATTATGATTTCCGTGGATCATTGTGGTATTGTATTATGAACAAATGTATATTTATCGTTTCAGATTTTAAGAAAACGTGACATCGACAAAACAATGCATGTGTTTTCGATTTTTACGAAAAAACAATATTTTTATCCTTTGTTAATTAACATCTGTTTAATAAGTATTCAACAGTTTGGTGGTAACATTTCATTGTTATATAAATTACAATGTGCATACGGAGGACCACCATTAAATAAAAAAATGTCAAACGTGACTGGTATCTTAGTTCTCCAAGTATTAACACCTTGCTACTGTTCGTTATCACTTATCATGCATTATAAATAATAAAATGCACAAAATTTAGTATATTTTATGGGTAAATAGAAATAGTAGCGCATGTATACTATCGAATGTCAAGCATATTATGGTTATTACTTATTTCACTATTGGTTAGTAGAAACTTTCAGACATTTTATTTATCGTTCAATTGCCGGCTGGAGATTTTGTCGATCGGATACCACCCTAACTAATAGAACAGTAGACTGTATAGTCTCGGGACCTTTCAAAGATATCTTAATCCTGATTAGGAGTTCATACAAGAAGTTTTACGGAGTTTCAATATAGGAGCTCCCTTGGCAATTATTTGTGTTATTAGAACACTTCTATCGATTGCAGCAAGGTTAACTCAACCTTTATTTTCTTTGGGGGTGGGGGAGGGATATTATGTTCACATACATCAATAAAAATATATTTTAATTTTATAATTTATTACAATAATATAACAAAAGTTTATGGATTAATATATTATTTTATATTGATAATATTCTCTCCTATAATATAATATATAATATAAGATGAATATCAAAACACAAAAAAAGGTTTAAAAATATGTAATCTAATGTATTATTTTTTTTTTTTGATTCAATGAAAATCTAATTTTTTTCATTAAATCATAATATAAATATTATTTTTTTATCTTATTTTATTTTAAACGTTATGTGTATTTATTGTATGTTAAAAAAAGTGTTATTTTGTTTTACATTTTTTTAGCTCGTTTCATCAAGTTTTTGTTTATTAAGTCTCAGAATTTTAAAAAAGAAATATATATTAATCATCTCAGGACTTGGCATGGCAATCACCTTAATTTTGATGAATGGCAAATACTATATGCAAATTATAGATACGTTGTGGTTACCTAATTTAATCGTTATCTATATTATTTTTTATTCGATTGGATATGGTCCAATGCCATGGATTTTGATGCCTCAAATATGTCCAAGATATGTAAGTTATGAATTTAAAATTTAGTTTTTTTATGCGTATAATGCATATATAATACTATTTTTAGACCATTTTCCATGGATTTAATTTGAATAATGCATCATACTTTACAATTATTAATTTCTCAATTTAAAATTAATTACTTTATATAGGTACATAATTATTAGATTAGTTTAATATCTCATGAGAAATAAATTTATTTGTTAATATGAAATAATATCGCATTGGTTTTTAATTCAGTTTTATTTACCTATATTTTTTTAGACGAAATTGTGGACATCTGGTGTCATTGTAAGTCTATACGCTTTTTTGAATTTAATCATTAATCAACCGTTTATCGACATTATAAGATATATGATATATATGTTAAGTGGAGTGGATATATTTTTATTGATTTTCACTGTTGTAAGTGTTATTAGTATAATATTTGCGTGTTTGTTCACACCAAAAATAAAAGACCGTATTTCGTCATAAAATGTGTACGTTTTATCATTTAAGATTACAGATAAAAATAAACAAATTTTCCTACTTTTTTTTTTTATTTTAAGTTAGTAGTGTTTAATTTAGAAGGTTTACAAAGCTGTAAAAAGCTTTTAAAAAGGTCTTGACTTGGCAAAAAACCTCTCTACATTGTGATAAAGTTTGTAGATTTTGTACAACCATAATATAAAAACGGTAAAAATGCATAAGATCTCCGAAAAATATGAGATGTTAAAATATAAGAAAAAGTACACTTTTTAGATTATTTATCATTAATTTTCTGAATTCTACAAATACATCTTTTATGATAAGTGTATTAAACTAATAGTTAATACTATTATGTTATATATATTTTTAAAATCAGTAATACAATAACTTTATCTAAATAGTCTATGAAAAATACTGATTGCTATGAAATACCATTTTTCACACATATTATAATGAATAACTAATTATTAACAATATAAAAATATTGAAAAGTTAGAAAACAATGATATTCAAAGAATACAATTGAATAATTTTTTTAGAAAATACACAATTTATATTTGAATCGGTGAAAAAAAAAGTCACGACGTATATAAATGTGGAATATGATAATGCTCAGTATGCTTTTACGAGTACAAATTTTATAATATTCACTAAATTCAAAAATAAAGTGTGAGCTAAGTATGGACATATCTACGTTCATATTTTGTTTTAAACCCAAAATTAAATATCAAAAATAAATAATTCTTTTATATTATCATGATGGAAATTCATAGAATGATTTCATGTCATCGTAAACCTGAATTTCTGTAAATAATGGAGGGGGGGGGGGGGGTATTTCTAAGGTCTAGGATAATTTACACTTCCATTTCCCACAAATAAATTTATTTTACGATAATAAAAACCAAAAAATAATTTAAGCAATTAATTGTTTCTAAGTATATTGAAATTATATGAGTACATATATTATATAACCAAATATTTTCATTAAAATTAACAATTAAAAAAAAAAAAATTTTATCTTGAAATAATACATTTTTATGAAAACTTTTGTTATTAACTCAAATTGAAATACATAACAAATTTACTTTAACAATGTACAGATTCTTGAATACTAACCGCGAGACGATAAATATTTTGCATTAACCCTTTTGGTTGCCTGTCGGGATGTCAAGTGTTTATTAATATTCGCCCTTTCGACCCCCGCGTCGGCTACATCACGAGATGGTTCCCTTGCAAACTGTTCGCATAATGAGAAAATTACATGTTTCCATAAACCATAACTATATACGAGGTAAACCGCAACGACTTTATGAATAGGTACCATCAGAACAATATTATCTAACTATAAATTATTATATAATTTTAACATGCTTTTATAATAACCATGGTGGTTTCTGATTTTGGATTATAGGCTATAATATCAAAAAAAGCGAAAAAAAAATAACGAAATCAAAAATAGAGAAAAAATATTACTGTGATAAGTATAGTAAAAAAATATTCACAAAACCATAATATTACATTTGTAGGGTTAAGTTATTATTGATACCTTTTAAATAATTAATATTTTTGTAAGTATTGTAAGATAAGATTAGATAATGTATTTTTTCTGAATAATTTTCATAATTTTTTTTTTTTTTTTAATGTTTTTTTTACACTAGCAATAGACTGTTTTTATTTAATGTTCTTTAAATGTTGCTGATCTTTCAACACATCGATAAATGCTCAAAATGTTGGATGATTTAATAATTTCCATAACTCAAAAATATAATTCAAATAGAATAATAAGCACAATACTTGATTGTGACGTTCCAACGCCGTATAAAACTAATTGATGTTCATATCATATTAGGTATGCGCGAGGTATATTATATTATTCACAATAAAAGCGATAACGGATACTACTTCGAGTCACAATGATAATGACAGACTAATTAACTTATTTATAGTTTTTCCCTATTCCCTGTTCACTATTTACTCTAAAACAAGAGTTTTCCTCTAATAATTTATTATTTTTTGCTACAATTTAGTATCGTTATTTTTGTTTTCGATACTTTTTTTAATTCGTAATTTTTTTGTAATTTTTTTTTATCGCTTTTTTGACCGGTCACCTTAATTTTGATCTGATGGGTGCGCAATGTTTTATTTTTTTTTCATTAAATATTGGGGATGTGTATTGTTTTAATTTGTATATTAACACCAACATTGATGGAAATTATTTTATTTTAAATAATTTTCTAGGCACTTTAAAATATAGGTAAGTATAAACCGTCAATCGGTATCGATTGAACTCTCGGTGTGTGGCAAAATAGAGTTGTAGGGTAAAAGCGTGGCGATAGGCGCTATTCATGAAATATTTATGATTCGCTTGATCGTGCTTTTTTACCTCCACGATCGGTCTTAAAGAAAAGTGTTTTATAAACAACTATATATAAATCATCACCTCGATTTTTCACACACATACAATATTAGTTTTAACTCGTGGTGTAAATGCGTAATTGTGTTATAGCAGTATTATATTTATTTGTGAAATAAAAATAGATACATAAAAAATCGATACACGTTAATATAGATTGCAAGTACTTCATTATTATATGATTAATGAATTCTGTATTGTTAGCATACTTTTTAATAGGTTTATTTATTGTTTTATTTTATTTGTCATGAGTTTTGCTAACAATGATACTAATAATAGTCATAACATAATATATATATAAAAAGTTTTATTCTTATGACATTTAATGAATATTAACAGTGCGTATTAATATTGTAATAAAATATCAAATAATATTGAGCTCTTAACGGTTTGATAATAAATTAATTTTCAAACAACAATGCATTTAATTTAATTAAGATGATTTTGTTTTTGATTCATTAGAACTTTTTTGGTTATAAATAATTTTTATACATATGATTTATGCTGTATAAATTTCATTACTTTACAATAACGTGGAATTTAAAAAAATATTTATTTTTTTTTTAAATTTTTTCTATTTGGTATTTACTATCCACATTAAGGCATACTAAATTGTATTACTATTTTAGTATAATAATTTGACTTTTACGTTAACGTTTTTGTGATTTTATGGATTTTACTAATATTTTATAATAATTTAAATGGATTAATTGGTTTTGAGAGTTTATAAACATGCATATATGTTGTTGATGTATAGTCAGTACTCAGATGAGTTCAATACTTCAATGCAAAGAAATCCCAAGAGGGGATTTATGAATCCGTCCTTGTGTAATCGGACTAGTGAATGTGAATCGTATACATATAGTGTTATTTAGACATTATCTCCGGTGTGCTCGATACATAGAAGAGCTTTCCGAAACGTTTTCTCTTGGTATTAAGGCATCGGTGAAATTCTGCCTCACGTATCCGGTATAGTTAGTAGATGTGCAGAATAGAGGGAGCGGATACGACCGGGGGCTCATTTATTATTTACCGGAGCCGCGAACGGGACGGTTTTAAGGCCGCTTGTGTGTTCTCTACCCCGGTCGTCGCTCGGTCCACCGAATAAAGTCCTTTTAATTCCTGTTACCGAAGCCACTTTGCGACGACGAAAACCAAAAAGCCTTGCATTTCGTTGATGATTTTTAGTTTATAGTCTTCATCCTCCCTCATTTTTACTCTCGGGAGTTTTGTTCTCACTCGAGGGACTTTTTTTTTAATGTGTTGGCTAAATTGTTTCTTCTTTAAAGCAAAAATGAGAGAATTTAAAAAAATAAAATAAAAATGTTAAAAAAAAAAACAAAGAAAAAAGACACCCTTGACTGAGCGGAGAAAGAAAAAATACGGTTCTTATTAATGTTCACTTTAATACAATACTGTCTGCAACGTTTAGGACCGCTTTTAACAGAAAGAAGGAAAAAAGTTTCTCAACAAGTGTTAAGTCGATTATATAAAACTCGCATTTCTTAACAACTGAAAAAATAAACCTCACCTAACGATTTTTGACAAATTGATATAGGTATAGGTATAAAACTGTAATTAAAAAATACAATATACATTGTATTGATAAATTTATTTTTATATTAATTGTTAAACTTGGTAAATTTTCCTTAGCATGTCCCTTAAAAAAACGCATCTATCAGTCTATAAGCACTATTATTTTAGAAATAAAATGTAACACGATAACTAAACAGTCTACTTTTTTTAATATTTAGCACGTTTATCGAAGCAGTTTAATGAATATTTTCTACGAATTTAAGGCATAGTATAGGTACATATAGATGTTATAAAGAAAACGTACATTGTGTCGTGGAGACCAGGTGTTGCACATGAATGAGGACGCATCCTCTAGGATCCGGCTCTGAAAACACGAAAACTGTGGTTAGATTTGTAGAAATACTTGGGCGAGTTCCATAATATTTATGAAACTTAATATCTTTATAAACTTTCTTCTTTTTTTTTTTTAATTCTGTGATATTATATAATGCATGAATGTATTTTACACATCATACGGAAAATTCAAAAGTGCTACCAAACAAATGAGGTATTTCAAACATTTTGATATAATGTTTTTTATGTTTTGTATTTGAATTATTAATTATTTTGGGTATATCGTTTTTATATCTAACAATTAACCACACAATTTATGGTAGGTACTCGTTTACACAGGTAATTCGTAGTTCATAACCACTTAATATTTAACATAAATATATAGACATAACAGTCATTTTCATGTCAAAATAAACAATTTTACAAAAATCTAATAAGAAATATGTTTTAAATAATATATTATGTATATTTAACTTAATATATATTAAATTCCTTTTCAATAAGTAATAGTATTCAGTATAATAAATATACAAATTACAAACAATCGGTAATGTACGAAAATCAATCATTCAACAGATATTATTAGGTACTTATTAGTTATTTTATTGAAAAAGAAACCTAAGCACGAATATCGTATAAAATAATATTGTATCCATTGCAGATTAGTAGATAATTAAATGCTACGCGTACATAGATATATAAATATAAATCGTATTATTATATATAGTTCACTTTAATTATCGTAGAAAAGCTGGATTAAATATTTTAAATATTTAATGTTTTTTTATAAGTACAAAATAAAAATAGAAGTATAATTGGAAATGCGTGTGTGCTACGTGTTCATTTTAATTGTCGTAGAAAAGTTTAAGAAAGTCTTAAATATCAAATGTTTATCTAAAAGCATAAAATAATAAAAATATTTAGAAACACGCGCGTTTAAGTAAAATTGGTAAGTACACACCAACGACGATTAAACATTCGCGTTTTTAAACTTGGAACAATCACGATTTATTTTTTTATTTTTTTTTTGACACTTTAATTTTCATTCAATATACCTGTCGGTAAAACGGTGCAATATAATCACAGAAAAGATTAAATTAAACCTATATTCTACGGTAAGCATAATTTTAAATAATATAATATGGATATACCTATTATCTACGTCATACACGTCATTACATTACATTTGGACACTCTTAAAAAAAAAAAAAAGCCCCATACGAATTATTACGCATATACGACAACATATTATATTATAGTTCATGTATTTGAAATACGTCAGTGTAATCGTAAAACTAAATATATGTACACATTATGTTTATATCGTACTTGGCTAAATTGTGCATAAATCAAACGCACAGTGACACGAAAAGGGGTTTCCGTTATATATAGTGGTGTAGTACCTACATATACAGTGGCAGCGGCTGGATTTGCGTCACGTGTCATTTTCCCACTTGGAACGTCCGAGCTTCGGTGATGTGATAATCACTCGCACGTGTGTTGCATTACGCGCGTACTCGTAACGTGGACGGGGCCGGGGAGGAAGGAGACTTCGCTTCAAAATTCAGTTAGTACTTGACAGACGGTCGTATACACAAAATAATTACCACAACCCGCCGGCCGTTTAGTATTATATACATAAATACGAGCGTTGCACTGTTTTGACACAACAGTTACGTTATTATTATACTTGGCCGAGGTAGAATAAAAACAAAAAAAAACTTTTTTGTTCACTTATAATACGCACACAGAGAAGGGGAAATGTGCAAAATTAAAATCCTAAGTAATTAATGTAATTGTGTCAATTAGTATATTATATGTGTGTTGGTGTATAATATTAAACGCACCTGCATCAAGTTTTTACAGTTTTTCATCACAATTATTATCAATTTCTCAATTATTACAAAAATACATATTCCAATATTAGTAGGTATATCATAACGTATATTAGACCATTAGACCAATTTTAGACCATCGAAATGACTCTTGCTATGAGTATGAACTATGTTTTTTTGTAAAAAATAATATAATAATATTAAAACACCAACTTTTAATGGACACGACGGAATAATAATGATGTGAAATAAATAAAACTTGCTTGACTATATATACTGGCTAGTAGCTACTAATTATAGGTAGAATAAATAAAACCATTATGATTTTAATTTTTAAGCCTATTAAACACTATATTACATTATTCAGTAGATATACAGTTATATACTTTAATTTTTAATTCATAAATATACTATAATGACTTTAAGAATTAATAACAATTTTAATTTCTGTTTTTAAATATTTGTATAATATTAATTGCTTGCTGAAATATAGCTTATTTATATTATATTGATTAAATTTCGTTTTTGAAAATTATGCATAATAATATTTTTATTTTTTTCTAAGTAGTATGTGTTATAGTACAAATGTCTAATACATATATTATACCAAGTACTTTTGTTATAATATTATCAAGTTTCAATTTTTCAATAATCAAGACTCAAAAGACATAAAAATAAATGTTTTATCATTCCATAAAAATATAGTTATTTTCGTCAAACTGAATTTTATTAAATATTAAATTAAATTAAATTAATTAATGCATATTTATTTTATAATAGATTATTTATAAACATAAGGTACAATTTCATTGAATAAAATTAAATTTCATAGAAACCATATTTATATTAGCATATATCGATGTGTAATGGGTAAATATTTAAAATGTAAAAAATTGTTTATATAAAAAAAAAATAGAAAACCTAAAAGATTATTTTAATTTATAATATTAAAACTATAAATATAAATAACTTAAATTTAAATATTTCCCTAAAACTTGGTGTAATAAATACTAAACAACGAATTTGTCAATATGATGAGGGTTATTTCAGTTACGTTAGTGATGGCAGCAGGTTGCAGGTATATAGAAAACCGATCAATAGCAAATTAATGACCGCAACCTATGTTTCAGTCGACACATATATAGTTAAAATAAAAGGTATATTCAAGACAAAAACGTTTTAAAAAATTACATATATATATATATTGTTTTATACTCCTTATTTATTATAATTTTAAAACTTAAAAACTACTGATGATAGAATTCTACAATCAATTTAATATATCTACTTATTATACCTATAGAGTAATATAAAAGTTGCTATTTTATCACATCCTATAATGAAATTTGGAATTAACTAAATTATCATATTTATATATAAAAGAGATTTTATTTATTTGATTTATACAATTTAACATGATTATTATAATATTCTCTTTTATAAGAACAAAAAAGTTGTAATAAATTATGTTATGACAAGGTATACGACATTATTATAGGTAATAGTTATATTACGGTTATTAATTGACATTTATAGTCACTTAACGTATAAGTTAAGTTATAGGTACTCCTGCAGTATTTCACATAAAATAATATATATTTTATTAAACTTTTATTTTCTGAGTATTCAATATTTATTCAGTCATTTTCAACTAGGCAGTACAATTATTGTGCCGATTGTTGGTTTATGTATTGTAATAATAATTTTCGAATGTTTGTAAAGCGTTAACAAACTAGACATCTTTATAGAATAGTATATTACATAATTAAGTTCGTGTCAATTGTCAGCCTACTAAATATGTTAAATGATGTTGTTTTTAAGCAAATATTTGAAATAATAATAATAATAATAATAATAATTGATTATGTTGATTTGAAAATGTCCTATATAATCTGCAATATGACTTAATATACAATATTGCTATTCGCACTGTGAAAAACGAATTAATTTTAACCATGTGAATACCAAATTACATTTATATATATAATATATATTTAATTACTAAAAGTGTCCTTCATTTGAATGTACATTCTAAAATTGCTTATTAGTTATTTTAGTTTGTTTTGATAAATATGTATTATAACATAGTAAAGATTTTTTTCACGAAAACGCTTTGCAAAAATTGATATTGTCTAGTAAAAAACGAACTATGCATAGGTATAGTCTATTTATTCTTATCGACTACATTCAAAGACGAATTTAGACTGAATTTCTGGTTGGCTAGCGAACGGGGTATTCATTATTGTATCTGTGGTTTGGAAATATTTTACAATAATATATTTATAGTATTTAAAGCAAGTTCAAGGACTGTTTTTATCATTTATAGCTTATATATGTTCAAAATTTACCATCCTTCGCATAACTATAAATATTATTTCTGCAATTTTATCTACACTCGGTTTTATTTCTTTATAGCTAATATATGGGCGCGTGAGAACCAATCTAATATTCCTGCGCAGATTAATCGATGGATCGTTTAATGCTCTTTCATTGCTCTCACAAATGAATTTTTCCTAACCAACTGTCCTGTTCTTGGAACCGTCCTTGATGGTATCACTCAATAATTAAAACCTGCAACAGCGTAATAAGCCCAGTTCTATACTGCCTGAATGATCTTTCAAAAACGGTAAAACGGTAAGTTTGCGTTTAGTAATAGAAAAAAACCTTAATTAAATCGTTGATGATTTTTGTTGAACCACGAAACTCATAATTATATAACTGCATAAAAGGTGGTAGAATGATTTATTTGTTCCCGCACCGTAAAACGGTATTAGCGAGGTTTAACACCAGCTCACTGCTGCTGCTGCTGCTGCTGGAAACACGGATTTGATACGGTCAAATAATTGCGCATAATTGGACGCTATAATAGCATCACTCTCGTAGCCGTTTGTTACTTAAATGGAGATTTATTTCACGGACGGGTAGACGGTATGTATATGATGGGCGGTTCGGGGGGGGGGGGGGGGGGGGGGGGTATATACGTATATATATAATATAGCAAAGCTTTTGCAAGGGGAGATGGATGACGCGGATTCCATCGCAGCAGCACAGCCGAAAGCGAAAGATACGACGGGGGCGATTAATAAATTATTTAAGCGCCACCACCAACGACATCAATCACTCTTAAGCAGTAAAGTGAGGTAAGGCCGCTGTTGAGGGGAGAGGAAACTTGGCGGTAATATGACGTTATTGGCCT